TATACTACACGTCCTTCTCAAAACTGGAAGGACAACGTAGACACGGGTCAGTGACTTCCAGGGGCTCAGAGAGGAGAATGACTAGAAAAGGGTGCCAAGGACTTGAGGGGGTGATGGGACCTGATTATGGGATAGTTAACAACAGGTCTGTCAAAACTTGCAAAGAACTGTAAAAAAAAGTGGTAAATTTTTCTGTATGTAAATTATACCAAATTGTAGGGAAAAATTAAATTGTCTATTAAAAGGTTAAGAATTTGCATGCCCTTTAAAATAAATCATGTAAGTTTTCCCTTCATGAGTTCAAATGCTGTAAAATACTAGTATAATCAAGTATATATATTTTCCAAGCAATAAGAAATAAGGAAAAATACTTGATTTTGAGAAATATAGCTAATAAAAAGCTCATGTAAGTATGCAGTCCCCAACCCCTGGGCCAAAGAACTCTGCCCTCCACCCCCAGTCTGTGGAAAAATTGCCTTCCATAGAACTCAGGAACCCAGACAAACAGCAAGAGATGAGCAGCTGGCAACTGTGTGAAGAAGCTTGGTCTGTAGTTATAGTCCCCAGCCACTCCCACTGCACCCATCACTGCCTGAGCTCTGCCTCCTGTCCCATCCCTGGAAAAATTGTCTTCCATGAAATAGGCCCCGGGTGCCAAAAACGCTTGGGATCTCCAATGCAATATGATCAAATGTCTGTATCTGGTATCCTTGCTTTCTCTAAACTCATAATTTTAGTTTAATTTTTATGAATATTGGAAAAGTGTTAAAAAGACAATTACACGTAAAACTAGGAAATAATTCATAACATTTTTATGTACTGCAAAAACTATTAAAATAAACCCAGCTGAACACTTAATGTTCAATGTTTCAACTCTAAAACTTAAGGAGGATCCTAAAGCCTGAGAAGACAGAGATTTTGCTTTCCCTGACAGGTCTGCCAGTCCTGCTTCCTTTCCCTCCCGGGAAACCTCCCATCTCCCAACCAACCAGGCTTGATGCTGAGTGCTCAACCTCCACAAGCCATGCTGACAGGGAAACTGAGGCAGAGAAGAGAGAAGGAAAGGGTGGTGCTATGAGCTGTGCCACCTCCCACCCTCATTCTTCTAGAAAGGCCACCCTATTGCAGGAAGCTAGGGTTCTCAGCAGCTACTCACCCACATGACTCCAGGACTGGACTCACACAGCAGGAGCTCAGTGAATGTTTACTGGGAACCTGGCCCTCTTTGCTCAACAGAAAAGTAATGCACACACCTGATAAAGGCTCTGCCCTAGCATAGCCTCACTTCCAGAATTGAGCCTGTCAAGTTGTTGATGAAAAAGACTGGTTTAGATCCTGTAGGCAAGGATACTCTGAAACTTCCTCTCACTCCACAATTCTAACACATCTCTTGATCTCTAACAAAGAGGTACCTCTGCCACCCTGCTCCGGCCTACAGCTCTCAAACTCATTGGTTTTAGAACCCTTTACCCTCTAGAAAATTATGAAGATTCTAAAGAGCCTTTGTCTATCAATATTTACTATACTAAAAGTTGAAACTGAGGTTTTCTTTAGAAAACTTATTAATTTATTTATACACGTTATATGTTAATAACATTTTTATGGGGGGAAAGACTATATTTTCCAAAAATAAAAACAAAAACAGTGAGAAGGACGTGGTGTTGTACATTTTTGCCAAACCCTCTCAATGGCCCCTCACAACAGCCACATCTCACATCTGCTGCTGTAGTCCTCCTTGGACAGCCTCAAAACTACACTGTACACAAAGGCAAATGGCATCCTAGTAGTACAAAGAGACAGTTAAGACCTCTCAGTTCCTCTGGGGCCTCAGGGACCCCAGACCCCTGGTCCACCCTGGTTCCCAGGAGCAGCAGTCAGCTTTCCCATGGCCCTGCAGCCTCATCAGAAACGCGGATCCTGGCCTTTCCAGGGCACTCTCCTTGGATCACTCAACATCAACACCATCCTCCCTAACTTAGAAAACAGAGCAACAACAACGAACTTGCTACTTTCTTTCATGTCACCAAACTTCAGGAAAAAGTGGTTCCCACCGCTTCTACCACCTTGCTTACTTTTCTAATTACCAGACTATTACACAGACTTTCTTATTTAAAAAAAAAAAAATCAAACAGTACAGATAAATAACCATTCACAATCCCAATCTCCTCTTCAGAAGTAATGTAATCACTTTATCCCTAAAAAATACTCTGAATCTACTTCTTTATTTATTTTTTTTTGCTCACCTGAGCTAGAGAGCAGTGGCATCATCATAGTTCACTGCAACCTCCAACTCCTGAACTGGGACTACAGGCTATGCACCACCACACCCAGCTAATGTTTTCTATTTTTAGTAGAGACAGATCTTACTTTTGCTCAGGTTGGTCTGGAACTCCTGAGGTCAAAGGATCTTCTCACCCTGGCCTCCCAGACTGCTAGGATTACAGGTGTGAGCCAGCACACCTGGCCTAGATTCCTACTCTTTCTGTGACCCCAGTTATAGATAAAAGGATAAGGGATAGCAATTAGATAAAATAAATTTGTGTTCCTATACAAAGTGAGTACTAAGCTAATGCTAAAACCATGCTGATTTTATGACAATTCAGAAAGAGAGAATGAGATATATTATGGCTTATATATAAAATCTTCATATTTAATTACCTATATGCAGATAAATGCTTCTACATTTGTATCATCTTAATTTACAGTAAGTGCTTTAAGGGTTTAGAAACATTTTCACATATAGTGCCTATTAGAATTTTACAGCTCTATGAGGTTAGCATTTTACAGATAATAAAGGCTAAGTTATTATTTTTTTTGAGACAGAGTCTCATTCTGTCCCCCTCAGTAGAGTACTATGGTGTCACAGCTCATAGCAACCTCAAACTCTTGGGCTCAAGTGATCCTCCCGCCTCAGCCTCCCAAGCAGTTGAGACTGCAGGCACCCGCCACAATGCCTAGCTAAGAAAGACAAAGTTTTGAAAGAAAAAATTATTTGCTCAAAATTGCAAAGTGGGGAAAGTTGCACACCCAGAAACCACAAGGTAAAACTTACATCTTCTGACTCAAATCAAGTCCTACTCCTTTATATCATTTGAATAGCACATCAAAAACTCTAGCAATATTGAAATATTAAGTTCTTACCTATTCTTAGATCTAATTTGGAAAAATTATCTCTACTTTCAAAGTTAAATAAAAAACATAAAAATTAATTGAATGTAAAAAATAATTTTTTCTTATCCTATATATAATGTAACCCCTCAGAAAGCCTGCATTTTACTTAAAAGAACAATTAAAATTTCTGATATCCTACATCAATATGTAGACACATTATAAAATTCAAAATAAAAATTCTTAAATCCTGGCTCAGCGCCGTAGCACAGTGGTTACGGCACCAGTGTGGGTTCAAGCCCGGCCCCGGCCAGTTAAACAACAATGACAACTGCAAAAAAAAAAAAAATACCCAGGCACTGTGGCAAGAGCCTGTAGTCCCAGCTACTTGGGAGATTGAGGCAAGAGAATTGCTTAAGCCCAAGAGTTTGAGGTTGCTGTGAGCTATCATGTCATGGCATTCTACCAAGGGTGACATAGTGAGACTCTGTCTCAAAAAAAAAAAAAATTCTTAAATCCTTTATTTAGGCATTGCCATTAACAAAATATCTATAATGTACATAGTTACCATTCAATTAAAAAAAAAATATCTAATGTTCCCAATCAAAGGGTGATGGAACTGCTACACATATGCTACACTAATATTTAAGTGTCATACTTACAATTCCTACAAGGGACACTTAGAATCTCCTTAATTTCATAATCGGAATTTTGAATAAAATATTTAAGTTATTAAGAAAAATAAAGCATTAGGCCAGGCACAGTTGCTCACGCCTGTGATCCTAGCACTCTGGGAGCTGAGGCAGATCACCTCCTTCCTTTAAACTAAGGAAAAGCCTAAGAGACTTCTAAATGTTTCATAAGGTATATTTAAAATGTATGTAAAGTGTTTTAAGGTATCTTAAAAAGAAAGCAAGAATTTAAAAGTGCTGTATTTTTAAAGGCAGATCACTTGAGCTCATGAGTTCAAGACCAGCCTGAGCAAAAGCAAAGACCCCATCTCTACTAAAAATAGAAAAACTGAGACAAGAGTATCACTTGAGCCCAAGAGTTAGAGGTTGCTGTGAGCTATGATGCCACAGCACTCTACCCAAGGCAACAGCTTGAGACTGTCTCAAAAAATAAAAATAAAAATAAAAATAAAAATAAAATAAAGCATTTAACTCATTATTCATCTTACTAAAACACTGTTTCCAAGACTGTTTTTCTTCCACTACTCCATGGGAGAAGAACACATTTAACTGATGTCTTTATTATGACACACTACTTCTGAATTGTGATTTAAAAAAACTGATCTTAAACTAATTCTTATCTTTAAGGGCTGTGGATTGTAGCTAACTCAATTACACACCTAATAATAGAGTTAATTTTTTAAACTAAGATTCTTTTTTTTTTTGAGACGGAGCCTCAAGCTGTCCCCCTGGGTAGAGTGCCATGGCTTCACTGCTCACAGCAACCTCTAACTCCTGGGCTCAAGCGAGTCTCCTGCCTCAGCCTCCCAAGTAGCTGGGACCACAGGTGCCCGCCACAACGCCTGGCCATTTTTTTGGTTGCAGCCATCATTGTTGTTTGGCGGGCCCGGGCTGGGGATTCGAACCCGCCACCTTAGGTGTATGTGGCTGGCGCCTTAGCCGCTTGAGCCACAGGTGCCGAGCCAAAACTAAGATTCTTTATACCACACCCTGAGACATTATAAAAATATAGACCGGTAACTAAAGTAACTCATTTTTCTTCACATTTTCCTCTTCCTAAATACATTAAAGATATACATGCTGTCAACACATCCTTATCAGAAAAACCTAAAAACTGTAGTAAGATGGTTCCGTGCTCAAATTAGTCTAAACAAGACTGCAAAGCTGTTTTACTAAGAAATATTTCAGCATCTCACTTACCTCTGTTTCTGTATAATGTGAACATCCCAATTTACCTGTAATAAAAATACAAAAAATTACTTTCAAAGAATTCAGCTTTTTTACACATTGATAAAAATATTTGCACTAGTTGTGACTTGATTACAAGAAAACATCTGTGAAAATAAAGGTGCCAGAATGACCAAATATTCTTAAGTCTTGCTAAGAAACTGAAGTTTAAATAGGCTGAAAAGGAAATAATAAAGAAAAAGATGAGAAAAATAAATTTAATTATAATAAGATCTAAAACATATACTATATACATGTATTAAATACATGTGTCCAAATTAATCAAAGGAAAATAAAAATACGGCACTTTTAAAGTTTTGCTTTCTTTTTAAGATACCTTAAAACACTTTATATACATTTTAAATATACCTTATGAAACCTTTAGAAGGCTCTTAGGCTTTTCCTCAGTTCAAAGGTACACTGATTTTTTTCTTAATAAATGAATTTTATTTTATTTATTTATTTTTTGAGACAGAGTCTCACTATGTTGGACTCGTTAGAGTGCCATGGTGTTACAGTTCACAGCAACCTCAACTCCTGGGCTCAAGTGATTCTCTGGTCTCAGCCTCCCAATTATCTGGGACTACAGGCATCCGACACAACACCTGGCTATTTTTAGAGATGGGGTCTCCCTCTTGCTCAGGCTGAACTCCTGAACTCAAGCAATTTGCCCAGCTCAGTTTCCCAGAGTGTTAGGATTACAGGCGTGAACCACCAGACCCGGCAAGGTCCACTAATTTTTATAAAGAGAAATGTTTCAAACTCATTATTTTCTTTTCTTTTTTTTTTTTTTTTT